ACATGGTCGTGGCCACGACTGGTGCGGCGGCCTTGGGCATCTCATACCTTCTTGACCGCCCACAGCACTGTTGACCGCACCACCAACCTCATCCCGCGGACTCCCCAACATACTCCAGCCCACACGCCCAGCCTCACCTGCCCACAACACACCACCCCACGCGCGCCGGAAGGCACCCAGCGGCCCCATGCCGGCGGCGCTCCCCCCCCACCGCGCCTGCGGCCCCAATCGGCCTCGATGCATCCAATCCCCCCCTCAAACGCACGCGATGTGGATCAAGATTGCGACGATGGCCGTGTCGAGGCACAGGGGGCCGACGCTGGCGCGGAGGGCGCGATCGGGCAGGCGCGTCTCTCGGCGTTTGGCGGTGCGATCGGTCGCCGCTCCCACTCGGGAGGGAATGGAGTCGGGGCAAGGAGACGTGGCTGGGGAGAGGTTCGTGTGGGCGAGGCACTGGTACCCGGTCGCGCCGCTGACGTGGCTGGAGGAGGCGCAGGGGGATGGTTTCGAGTCCGGGCTGCCGGAGGTGCAGAGGATGGCGATCCTGGGGAGGGACATCGTGGTGTGGAAAGACGGGGAGGGGGCGTGGCGGGCGGTGGAGGACAGGTGCCCGCACAGGCTGGCGGCCCTGTCCCTGGGAAGTGTGCAGGAGGACGGCACGCTAGCGTGTCGGTACCACGGTGGGTTGGTTTGCTGGGGGCAGGGGCTGCGGTCCTGGGGGTTGCGGTGGGCACCACCAAAACTCATTTGGGCCATTACTGCGAATTCGAATCCGAAGCGCTGAGCGGCCCTCCGTACAGGCCACCACCAGACGTCCTCATCAACATGGACAACGCCAGCAACGGGAAGCGGTCATGTTATCACAATGTCGCTGAAAACCTCTCCCCAACCTGTCGGAGTAAAGGACACAGCAGAGTGCACCAAATAATTCCCCAATGTCGACATTGAGAATCCAATTTGTCTCCAATTGACGTCACCCGAAGAAGTTGATCAGAAGTAAGCATGCCGCTACTGGCGATGGCACATGGCTCCGCAAATGTAGACTCAAGCACGCTAGGCAGGACAGTTGTAACTGGGTAAATAACAGTGCTTTTGTCCCCACTCGAGTTTCAGTGTCCAAACTGCAAGTATGGAACCTAGCTCAGACAGTTCGTCCAGGAAAGGAAGCTGGACAGTGGCCTATTTCCAGCAGCGCAAAGTGCAACTGCCCTGGAATACTTAGTGTCTGAAGGGGGTCCGCTTTCCAAGAAAATGTATGGAAGCTGAACTTTTTCCATATCTAAACTATGCAGCGCTCTGCAGCGGATATTTCTGAAATCTGGAACGCAATTGTCTGGTGTTCCCCCTCCTCGATCGAAACAGTTGCAATGCAAGCAATGCATTGACATGGCACAGTTGTTCACAGTATGCCTAATACCGTAGTATACCGTTGGTTTTTAAACCCTTCCGCATAGTAACATAACGCTGGGCCCTTTTTCGCGGAGTCGATGAATAAAAAAATAATGGTGCCGGAGCGAGATGCGGAGCAGCTGAATTTAGTAACGGCTGGGGCGCCGCCTTGGGACGGGGGCCCGGCACCTGGCAGGCCACTGGGCCGCCCAGTGATCGACTGCCGCGGTCGATCGGCAGGCAGGCCCGTTGTTTGCCTACCGGGCGGCTTGGGCCTCGAAATGTCGGAAGCGATCGCAGGCATATGCCAGCGTGATCGCGGATTTGATCGATTGGACATGCGAAGGCGCCTTGCGGCATCCTCTTGGCGCTCCCCGCCACCCGGAAGGCTCATGGGCGAGCGATCGGTAGGCAGGTAGGCGCTCGCTGCCTGCCATACGGGCGGCGGGGAGAGTGGGCGCTGACGCCGAAGGTGCCAATATGGCATGGAATCCCACGGGCTGGGGGTGGGGGTGGTCAGCGGTAGCGCTCGTGGCCCGAGAGGGAAATCATGGACTCTTGGGAACCGTTCCCAGAGTTGGGTGGTTGATGTCGCGTGGTACACGCACGAACGAGGCTTGGGACTGGTCTGTTGCACCCGAAACTTAGGATACAGCCTCTAGAGGCCCCTTGGAGCCCGCCTGACACGATGCGGAGCAAGATAAAAAATAAAGTAATGGTCCGGGACAAAAATACGGAGCAAAAACGTAACGGTCTGGATAGACCGATGCGGAAGGGTTTAATATACTACGGTATGGCATTTTGCCTGTGCATCACAACAAGCATAACACATGCTACTCTATCACTTCCTCCATCCAGAAGTAAATGAAACAATTTGTTTAAGAGGCTATATTTGTATCATAAACTTGTTAGTTTTCCTTCAAAATTGGACCAAGGCACTACCTACACATTTGCTATGTACAACCAAATTTTTGTGGACAATGGATAAGTGCTGGCCACATGGCAGTACTTTGAACCCTTGTGATTCAGGCCAAAAAGTCGAGGTTTCTCAAGGTCTGGCCGAACAACCCTCAAAACAGGTCCTTGACCAGGTCGCCTTGTGACTGACGGTGCGCAGCCTAGAGTGGATATCTATTGCTGCTGTCTTGGTGGCAGGTCGACACCGTTCCTAGCAAAGGGGGAAGACCAAGAAACCGGGTTCCGTAGCGTTCGGTCCTTGATCGCCGCCACGGTTTTGATGGCCTTATGAGAACAGCAGCTCCGTATTGGAGATGCAGAAATCTGCGAACCTCACAATCCTGGCGTTTGCATAAAGGGCCCCTGCCATGGGTGAGGACGCAATGGGTGCTAAGACCAAAACGAAAGGTTTGGGACAATGTGATTATGCCCTCGCTGCGTGGCAGCCAGAAGATCGTTGAAACTAGCTGTGGTGGGCGCGTGCCACGAGAAAGACTTTGTGCGCCATTCATGCAGCTTTCAAGGTGCCGCTGCAACTAAGCTTCACCCGTGCCATTGCAAAACGCAAGAATGCCACCATAGCGACGCGTGGGGTCTTCGATAAAGCACCTTAACCCTCCATTGTTATGTTTAGCGGGGTTGAAGCCTGTTCAGAAAGAGGGGTTGCTTGCATCAGGAAGGCACTTAATCGGAGATCTGTGCTGAACACAGATCTTATGTTGCGTGCAAATATCCTGCATCTAGTCTTTAGCCACTAGGAGACGTCTAGGCATTGGGGGATCCCAGGCATGCCGGTGTTAATGGCTGGCGTATTGGCGGTTGAAACATCCCATCGATGGTGCTACGGAGATACAGGTGCCAATTCTGTCGATCGTGCATTGCGAAGGGTGTCGATCTTTGGGCCACAGCCCGAGTGCCAAGGCAACTCCCCCCTTTTGATACTTTGAAGATGACTGGAAAGGGCATCACTCGTGCGCTGGGCCTTCCTAGGTCCCAAGCGCTGGGTTTCGGTGGGGTGGGGGACTGACTTCGAATGTTCAAATTCTGGTGCTCAGTCGTTTGGCTTCAAAGTGCTACCATATGTCTAAATCTTATTTTCTGTCGATAAACTCTTGAAAGCATTGACTAAACACATAGTAGTGGTGCTGGTCCAATTTTGAAGGAAAAATAAAAAGTACATGATACAAATGTGGTCAGTCAACAAATTGTTTCATTTAATTCTGGATGGAGGAAGTACTATGTGTGGTAACACAACCTTCACACAAGTAAGGTCAGGTTTTTCTGAGAACTCTTGAGTTTGTGTACCTTCATACATTCTGTGCGATTCAGATATCTGTGATAAATTCTTATTGTGCGGTGCCTAGTTTAGACAAATTGCGCTCAGATATCTTTTGACAGCAGTCTCAATTCTGACTATGTGGGCTTCAGCAAAAGAAAAATGTTGGTTGGTACCCAGATGCCCTGCATGGACAAAAGAAGGTTTCTTGCTTGCAGGTACCATGTGTAGTGGGGCCCCCAAATTTTAGCTGTCTCAGCAATCAACACTGACCCCACTTATTTGGTCTCAATAGCATCTTGTTCCTGGGCAAGGGGAAAACACCATGATGCAGCTAGTCAGCACTGCACTAAACTGTCTACTTGTGTGGGCAGCCTTGTCGCTGGAAACACGAGAAACACAACACAAGCCAATGTGACCAGAGGAAGAGCATGCTTCTAAACTGCCCTCTGCACTGCAGGGTGGTGTTTCAACGGCAAAGGGGAGTGCACCCACATTCCCCAAGCCACAGATGCAACTTCGGAAGCCACGGCATGTTCAAGTGTCCGCTCCAAAGTCCAAGCCTTTCCGACCTTGACTGCTCATGGGCTCTTGTGGGTGTGGCCGGATGACAGTGCATCGGCCTGGATAGATTCGGCAGTGGAGCCGCCGCTCGTTGGTCCAAATATTGACAAGCTCAACATCAAGAGTATGTATGAGCTGCCTTCAACCTACACGTCGTATCTGGAGAATTCGCTGGACCCCAGCCACGTGAATTTTCTGCACGATGGACTTGGCAACTATTCGCCAACCAACGCAATGCCCATTGCTGATTTTGAGGTGAAAGGAGACATAACTGCAAACGGCGGTTTTACGTTAAGGCACAGTGCGTATGCCAAGTCCAACGATGGAATGCAAGCAACACGAAGGTGGGGTCGTTTCATTTCAAAGCCATCTTTCAGGCAAAGAAGTTGGAGTTTTTACTTTCGAAATGTGTCCAATCGCACTGGCATGTCACCTATCAGGCAATGTCAATCCTTCCAGCTTAGTGTGCAGTGGGCAATGGAAGCAGGCAATTTCTAGTTTGTTCCTTCCACAAAGAGTCTTTTTTAGGACACATGTTTGAAGCACACCACATGGATGAGAAACCAAGTGCTCGGTGCCTGCACAGATCCTGGTGCATTCCATGTTCTGCATTGGTACGGCACATTGCCACATTTTATGGGGATATGACAATTGCAAGATAACTTATGCAGCCAAAACTATCCCTGGTCGTAAATATGGTCATTATGCGCTTAATAACACCCTACACGCCAAGCAGAAGCAATAACAGCAGAAGTGCTTACATGCACTAACCAGGGTTCTGCACATGTAGACGGTGTTGATTTCAAAGCGAAATGTTGAGAACATACAACACAATGGATGGTAATGTCTGTAGCATTGCCATTATGGGCACATCTTGCGATATGCATCTCATTGCATTTTTCTGTGCCAATCATCTATTGTTCGCATGTATCTTGTCGCCTGGACATGTGATGCCTGTGGGGCACTCGCATTGTGTCAGTCACATTTTGGACCCTGTTGCCTTGGTCACAGGGTTAGGACGGATGGAACGTCCCGTTGCTCTTTTTGCCACATAGATGCCCCAATGTAGCAAAAGTGAACTTGTTGCAACCTTCTCCACAGTGAACGTAAGGAACACTAGCATCTCACAGCAATAAACATAAGCATCATGAATGTTGCAATCTGAAATACATACATCCTCAGCCCCTGACTGAGCCATGTTTCTCCCAAGGGAACATCAGGAAGGATGTTTTCAAGTGACCATTGTTTGGGTGGCCATTTTGTCTTGCAGGTTTAGGCCACCATGCCTCAACAGTGGGGAATATGACCTTCCGAACAAGAGCAAAATGCTGTTTGAGTTATATTTCGTTCCCACACGTCCGGGCTTTGTTCGAGTAATGGGCGATATCAATTTCGTCCCGGGCTCGTCGACTTTGCCACCACGTAGGAGCATCATTGGCATGGCGGCGTTGCTGTGGACTTCACTTTCCCGCCTCCCGTTGCGTTTCATGGAGATGCTGGTGCCAGACTTCGTTGTAGCGAGCCTGGGCAGCATCCGTAGTGGCTTGTTTTTTCAAGATGCAATTGCAAATCGTTCAATTGATGTTGCGTTTTCAAGGTCAGTGCTTGGCAACGGGTGGTTATGGTCGAAATGTGTAATAGATTCACTGTTCAAAGAGTGCGATCGTACTGGTTGATGTTGATGGGTTTTAAGCATCCTGTTTTTTGGAATTAAAACCAGCGATTTGACAAATTGAATTCAGCGAACACCTTATGCACATGGATATATCTGGTTTGAGTCAGTTGTCAGGTGCATGGGCCTTTATCGGCGTTGATTTTTAACTTGGCATCGTTTTAAAGTCTTTCCTAAGATTGAACTCAGAATTTATTTTCCCAGTGCACACATTTCTGGGACGTCCTATGGTAATATCTGCACTTGACAATCGAAGTTTTGTGTGTGGAACTCACACAGAAATATTCACATTGTGAATCTTTTCCCATAAATCTTCCCATTAATCCACTTCACACTGGGACCTGTTGAATAATACCACGGGAAGCAAAATTTGGCATATTATGCAGGACCATCTTGGCCTCCAATGCGCAATCAGGCAATTAGGGATAACAGTGCTAGGCACACCTGCGTTCCAATCGTCAGCGCAAATCCTGGGCATGTACAATACCAGCAGTCAGATCTGCCATTGTTGCCATGCAACATCATTCCGAACTCGATAGTCACATTGGTGGTCCTGGCTCAGATGCTTTTTGTGTGTGTTTGCAAAACTGAACATAAGGCAGATCCTGGATGGCGGAATGCACCACCAGTTCAGTTTTCTCACTCCTGGGAAAACAGTAGATGTTTGTGCAATATTGTGGCTGCATTGCCATTGATACACTGCCGATCAACAGTTCAGCAAATGCTCAGACATCAATATTGACAAATGTTGATGTGCGTGCGAATGTTGCGTCAATGTCGACACTTTGATCTTCCTGCACCATTGTTTGGCCTTCCCTCAATGATACTCTACACACAGTACTGCATCAAACTTATTCTGCTCCCAAAGCAGGAGGCCTGGTCTAATTCCTAGGCCTGGGGTCTGGCACGTTTTCTTTGCAGGTCTGGAAAGACATGGCAGCAACTGTACTTCTTGCCTACCCCTTCGGACGTGGGCGTCTCAGCCTTCCGCCAGTGGATCAACCGCTTCTCAGATGGTCAGCCGGATTGGTTCTGTGGAGGGTCTGACCAGGAAGCAACTGCCAAGGTGCCAGAGTCGGATTTGTACGACAGGTGGAACGGTTACGGCAAGTATTCCCCCAGCATCCGAAAATCTCTCAAGTTCTTCGGCAACATGGAATCCACCCTGTCTGCAGCGGCCATTGGGCTTCTTGGACTGGCGGCGATTGTAGCTGCGAGGTGAGTTTCCGCTTTGGCAGCGGCCAGTGCGTTGGCTGCTGCATTTGCGGCTGTGTTGCATGGATGCTGTTTACGATCGGCTCAGTTGCAAAAGAACGCTTTGCGGGTTGTGCGTGACTGCAATGTGGGTGTTCTGTTGCTGGAGCACCAGAAAGTGGCTGTATGTTTTTCTTATGATGGAAGCCTGTACCTTGTGATGCTCTGGTAGGTGCAGGACATTGCTATGTTTGCATGAACATTCCACAATGCAGTGACAGTGGACTTCGAACTGCGACATCTCCTGCAGGCTTGAATCACCTGAGCCGTGTGATAGCCTGATCGGTAGTCTGTCTCTTGCAGGGCTGCCAATCTCAACATCGCAGTGGCGGGAGCAGCAGTCGCTGGGGCTTGCCTTCTGGCCCGCTTTGAGGTGCAGAAACTCCGAAATCGCCTGCTGACTGGAATCCCCTCCTGTGGCATGCCTGAAGTCCCTCTCAAATGGCCATCGACCGCAGGGGCCCCAACAGCTGAGGCTGGGTTGCACATTGGCTAATGAAATCTGAGAGGTGTTACAACGCAAGGCGAGATTGATTGCAGTGAGTCATTGTGGCTGATGGACAAGTTATTAATGGTGCCCTGGGCTGATGACATGGGTTTCTTCGTGAAATCTTTTTATCATGTGGGTGCGGTGCTTCTTTGAAGTGGGACAGTGCCCTAGTCTGTAGAGTAAAATTTTGATTCTTCAGTAGTGCTGGCTGTCACGGGCAGTAGTACCAATGCTGAAACTGATATTGCACGTGTGTGTTAGTGTGTATGATGCCATCATTGGCGCTCAATGAGAAATTTGTTACGTCGATGGGGGCACCCTGCAATCCACCATCAGGTGCACAGACGAGTTTCCGCGAATATATCTTTAGGGACAATCGACCTCTGTAACCTGGAGGGAATGCAGAAGGTTGAAATTTGACACAATTTCAGTATAAGTGAAAGTATGAACATCTACAGCAATATGCAGGCAGGCGTCACGCTCCTCACATGCACCAGCACAAAGCAGGAAAGGATAAGGGACACTCAATTCCAGGTGGTTGGTGCAAGCGAGTTACAAATGGGCTCCTGCCGCTGCTGAATAGTCGCACGCACCTGTGGCAATCAGAAAGGAACAAGCGCACATGCGACCATGGCAAAGGCAGGTCTTCCTTACTGCACTCTTGATGAAAGGCTTGGGTGGAATACGCCGTATTCGTAATACATCGTGCAATGGCCCAAGGATCAAAAATGGTGCAGAAGACCTGCAGCCCGGGATGGTCCGAGCAAGCCACCAGGGAACCGTATAAGAACGACAATGCACTCGAGAATAGGGCGCGGATCAACAACTAAATGCACACAGTTATTGCAGCCACACGCAGAAGAGCTACGTTAGTTGCTGAAAGAAGAGAAACAGTGAAACGAAAAGAAAGGAGCAAAAACAATAGTAGAGCTGCATGTTGCTCCCTTTGATAGACCATTGGGTGCGCACCTTCACACATGATATCAGGAGGCTACATCACTCGCTGCCACGCATCGAGTCCTTGGAGGCTGCATGTCGCCTCTACAATCCTGCTCGCCCATGTGCATTAACATAATGTTGGTTAGTGCTAAAGTTGGTCATTTCCAGTCCATTATCAAGTGGCGAATGACTTCATCAACTTCATTAAGACTGTGCAAGATGGACAATGACGACCAGCCTGAACTCCGTCCTAATTGCATCTCAGAAGGATAGGAATACAGCTGCTAGGATGGATTGACAAAAGATGGGATTACTACTCAAGGCAACAATGTTATACATGAAAGAACGGGGAATTGTAGGAGAAGGGACTACGACAAGCCTACATTTGCACCCATATAAAACGGATAAACAAGTTCTGGAGTCAGTCAGATGGATTACAAGAGGAATCAATACAACCATGCGACCCGACAGCTGTCGGAACCCTCCCGTCAAGCCGTCATTCACGCTCAATGACGGGTTACCTCAAGAAAATGCCAGCTGTATGTATAGCTGGACTCAAGATGGTGTTACATCAGGTCAGACCTGTCCGACAGCTGTACGCGGTCCGCGAGACTATTTATGGGCTGAGCTATCACGGTGTGCCAATCCGTGCCAGCCCATTGCCAGTCCGACCACTCGCTTCGTGTTGCATGCCACCAAGCACCATGGCTGCTGGCCGTTTCCACCAGGTCGAAGCCTTGAGGTTCCTTATTGCCCAGTGGCTGACTCTTGGCCATCTCTGCCTATGCCGTTGGGCGTTGAACGGCGTGGATGCGCCGGTGGGATTCTGGGCTTTCTTCATCGCAGTGAAGGTCCCTTTCAGCCAGGAAGACGCTCCCTGGATTCTGTGTGAGCGCCGAAGGGACCGTGAGAGGGCGGAGCTCCAGGAGCTTGCGCGGGATGTGCATCTGCAAAATGCCTCCACACAGCTGGATGGAACTTTCGTGTTGGGGGTTGGCGAGCGCTCAATCTGGAATGACGCGTATGATACCAACGCAATTCGTCGCGAATGGGAGTTGGAGGTCAAGGTCCATGAGACGGAGCCATACAATGGGATGGGCGTCTCTGCTTTCCAGCTGCGCTTCCGCGACATGATGGAGTGGGAGGGGGCGCGGATCTTGGAATGGAAGGGTTGCCGGTTTGATTTCGAGCGCCGGAGATCAAGGTATGGATGGAGGTTGCAATCCCCTTTATTGATCGCTGGGGATGGAGGCTGGAAGGGGGCGGACTCGACAGGCATGCATTTGCCCGCTCGTTACCGTCTGACTTTGACCAGGAGATTCTCCGGGAGTACAGGGACTTTGCGACTAACACCCCGCCCAATGCGGATGTATGGCGCAGCGCTGTGTATGATGCCGCGTGTCGCGAAGTGGCTGCCAGAATCAATGCCGGCAAGCCAGCCTAGACTGACGTGGAGGCAAGGGCTGAGAGGCGCGCATGGAGGCAGATCTTCCGTAAGCAAAAACCCGAAGTGGGGGAGGCCGGTGATGGGGCCAGTCATGACAAGCGCCCTCTTGCACCGACACTTCCCCCTGGTTTTGACTTGGGCCCGTCAGTGCGCGTACTGCCACCCGGCTTCAGCCCCGATGACGAGAGCTGAGGGGCCACGGTGTGGCGTGATCCTTGGCAATTGACACGACCCAATCGGAAGCCGCTGCCACCTACGAGGAGCCACGACTGCGGGATGGAGAGTGACAGGTGGATCTTGTGGTACTGGCCGCGGCACGATGACTGGGACAAGGCATGCTGGGGGCGCGTCGGACCGAGGGCTGATCGGGGGAAGTCGGGGGAAAGGTGCGCGTGTACGGTTTTAGGAAGTGACACCGTATAGGGATATGGTTGAAGGGGAAAGGACTGTCATGGGATGTGCGGAGCATCAGGAGGGTCTGGCATGGGACAATGCCTCATGTAAGGCACTCTGGGAAAAGACAAAACTTTGTATGCGATAGTTTGATTTGTAATAAAAGACATTGGAGATTCTGCATGGCAGATCTCCGCAGGCCCCTGAGTGTGTGTGCGACTCGGCCGCCTGAATCTGCGCGTAAGCCCAACTGGAGCCCCTCGAAGGCACCCGAAACCGTATTCAGACCCCCTCTCTATGCCCGTGAGCCTGAGAGCCGGTTATTTTCAGGGTGTGAGGCCCTCCGTTGGGCTAGAAGCGTGTGTTGGAGTTTTGAGGCTGCTTGCACCGACCGCGGTCGAGCAGTCGTTCATGTGGACCCCTGTGCACACCCTGTATGAGGTGCGAAAGCGCGAGGGGTGTTGGACGTTGGGTGAGGAAGGATGTTGAGTGACGGTATCTTTGGTTGTTTAAACCTTGCCATGTCGGATGGCAAAGAGAATGCATCTCTGAGTGTGGGTGCGCATATCGCACTGGCATGTGTGGCTGCCATGGTGAGGGTGATTCGCGTGGTGGATCGTTGCGTAGTTTTCGTCAGGGGATTCATGGTAATGGTGGTTGGCGGTGTGGGGAGAATGTTTGGTATTGAGCATATGCATGTGGATCGCATCGTGGGGCATCTTCAGACTGTCCAACACATTGTCGGAATCCTGTTCATGGTGAACGTTAGTGTTGCCATTATCTGCGCAATGGGGCGCTTCTTGCATTAGCGTCTGCAAAGATCGTGGCACGAACATGGGCAGACCATTCGAAGGGGGCAGTGAAAGTTATCAAAAAGATTCGCTCTTCCCCTATCCCAGAGCGGTTGACGAGCGCGACAATAGGCAACGAAATGGTGTCGCTTTGCATGCACGTTGCTGGCGATACGGCCACCAAAATACGGGCAACAACTGCCCGTTGGCCATGCATGTCCAGGCGCACGCAATCCAAAAGAACATGGGCAGAAACGCTAACAGAAACCGCAGCGATCCCCACAGATTCCCTCATAAACCGACGCAGCTCGAACGGTGAGCATGCCATGCGTGCACCACGCCGAAACCCAAACTCTTGGGGCTGAAAACTGCCGGCTTTGAAGCCAAACTGGTTGGGCTACACGCCACGAACCGTGTGCAAAGGCCACACACCCGGAGAACACCAGCAAGGCGATTACAACGCTTGTACAAGGCGCTTATAAACTCTTTTTCATTTCGATGCTCCCCGTCCAAAACGGGCAAGCGAAACCTTGGGGCACCACACATGTTGCGGCAGCGACCCAAAATAGCCCGCTCTAATCTCGTACATGTCGCCACATCAAGTCCATTTTGATCCTTGAAATGTCCCATCAGCTTTGGGGGTTCACATCATATTCTCTCCCAGCCTGTCCTACCCCTGAACGGGTGTCCCATATTTGTAAGCTAGTTCCTGCCGCTCACTTAACTCTCATGCAAGGGCTGCATCAACACCATACAACGAGCGGCCCAGGTTAACAAAAATTGCCACTTCAGCTTTCTACCTTTCGGCACATAAAATTCGATTAAACGACTGCCGCACCTGAACCAGCTGCCATAATGGCAATTCAAGTGACATGGTGTCACTTACCCAGCGCACCCGTGACTGTTCTATCCATGTTAGCACATGGCAAAACGGATACCACCTCTGATGTTCTTTCAGCAAACAGACCATATCGCCGTTCTGGCTGCTAAGTGTCACTGGTAAAAGATATAACTACCATCACACATTGAAGTAGAAAAGACTCGACATCACACGTCTATGCAGCCCACCTTGAACTATTTTCATACGATTCTAATTTTGAAGCCCATGCCATTTCGGACGGCTTTCCTCGCAGCTGTCAACGAGGATCAGACATGCCAACCTCTTCATTCATTTCCTGATGGACGAGTTTGAGCGCCATAACCTTGAATCGCAGTTGAAGTCTGAGTCAACGCACTGACGTAGTGAATGCCCACAGTTGCGTGCATACTTTGCTCCTCTGGCCATGGCTTAAATGGCCATTGACGATGTTCAATATCCCTTTCTGTCGATGACCTTATCCTCAATTTTGCACCCCAGTCTACCATGGTCTCCCTTGGTGCACATTCTGGGTCTCACGGAGCGCCAGCTTAGCGATAGTACGTAGATAAATTGGTTG